CAGTACTGAATTACCTTGACCTTTCTGGGAATTCCTTTTCTGGGAATATCCCATTGAGTCTGCAGAATCTCAAGCTTAATACTTTTAACTTGTCGTATAATCAACTTTCTGGCGAAATCCCTCCACTGTTTGAGAAGGGTGTGTACTCGGACAGCTTTCTGGGAAATCCAGGTTTATGTGATAACCATGGGAATGGTTTGTGTTCTGCTAAAGGTGAAGGGAGACATGAAAAAGGGTATTTGTGGTTACTGAGAACCATTTATGTATTGGCTGGCATTGTTTTTCTTGTTGGGGTTATCTGTTTCATATGGAAGTACAAGAAATTCAAGAAAATGAAGCAAGGAGTGGCCTTATCGAAGTGGACATCTTTCCACAAGTTCGGGTTCAGTGAATTCGAGATTCTTGATTGCCTGGACGAGGCGAATGTGATTGGGAATGGAGCCTCGGGGAAAGTCTACAAGGCGACGCTGAGCAACGGGGAGACGGTTGCAGTGAAGAAGCTGAGGGAAAGAGCACACAAGGATAACGAAGGCTATGGTGATTCTGAGAAAGACGAGTTTGATATCGAGGTCGAAACTCTGGGGAGAATCAGGCACAAGAACATTGTGAGGCTATGGTGCTGCTGTGATGCCGGGGACTGCAAGCTCTTGGTTTACGAGTACATGCCGAATGGCAGCCTGGGCGATTTGCTGCACAGCTGCAAAGGCGGCTCGCTCGACTGGCCTGCCCGGTTCAAGATCGCTTGTGATGCAGCCGAGGGCCTCTCCTATCTGCACCATGACTGCGTGCCGCCTATTGTCCACCGGGATGTCAAGTCCAACAACATTCTGTTGAATGAGCATTTCGGTGCGAAAATCTCGGATTTTGGAGTGGCAAAGGTTGTCCAAAGAACCAACAAAGGTTATGCCGAGTCCATGTCTGTCATTGCCGGTTCTTATGGCTACATTGCCCCAGGTATCCTTAATGTTGGTTTAATGGTTTTGAACTTTTTAGTTAAGACAGAACACGTTTTTGAACTATTAGTTGAGACAGAACACATGTTTCAGTTGTTTGAAACTTATCGTTTTGGTTGCAGAATATGCATACACTTTACATGTGAACGAGAAGAGCGATATATACAGTTTCGGGGTGGTGATGCTGGAGCTAGTGACAGGGAGAAGGCCCGTGGATCCCGAGTTTGGTGAGAAAGATCTGGCAAGCTGGGCATGTTCAACAGTGGACAAGAAAGGAGTTGATGAGGTGATTGATCCCAGGTTGGATTCCAGTTTCAGGGAACATATATGCAAGGTTCTTGATATTGCTCTCCTCTGCATTAGCCATACTCCGGTTAACCGGCCGTCAATGCGTCGTGTGGTTAAACTGCTCCAAGAATCCGATGGGAATTTCAGCCCAATGACAGGGAAGAAATTAGACACAAAACTCTCTGTTGAGGATCTCTCAGAAATGGCACAAGTCATCAAAGTGTAAAGCTTTAGGGAACAAGCTAAGCTAAGCAGTATGTAGAAGCAATCCATTCTATCTTATTTTGGTTTTCAATGGTTAGGCAGTACCTCATGGTTTCACTCATGAATGTGAGACTAAGTGTATGAAATTCTAATCCTTTTACAAAAATTATATGTTGTCCATTGCTATTTGTCTCAACTTGAACTTTCGTGATAATCTACTAATAGGGAATATACCCTCGGTCGCCTTAAGACTTGAGTTATTTCTCAATCTGTTCCGATCGGAGAGCAGAACCAGACTAACCCAACTTGAAGGATTACCGATTTTATGGCTTAAGGGGCCGCATGTCACACTTTTCGAAGATCGGTCTCGACCTACTTGTTCTGCCGAGATCTCGAGCGTAAATACTTAACACCCGAACTAAGCCCTGCGGGTAAATAGCATTGCATATATATTATTACACGTGCTCGTTCCTCATTCGCCGACCTAGCTGATTCCCAAGTGCTGGCGCACGTGCTGGTCCCTCGAATTCTCAATAAGTACCCCGTGACGTGACGGAAGAAGGGACTTTTTGACACCTTCCCTATAGCCACAATTAGCTCGGGGACCTCCGGTCTCACGCCTAATCCCGAGCTTGACTCCTTAAACCAACGATCAAACCTCATAAGGATCCTTAACCCGGTCCGGTCTTATACTTTATACGTATTCGTAGTAACTCCGATAATTTACTACATCATCTACAATGAGTTGCTCTCAAGTTCCGTATTTTCTCCCAACTCATGTAATTCATGAGTAAAACTTGTGACAATCCCGATTCTTATTTCCTTGTACATCCTAAAAAACTCCGCTGGCTGTAATCTCCCCGGTTGACCCTTAGCACTATACGAGATTCGAACCCGAGTTTTCTAGCTAGTAGTTACTAACAACTCTTGAAAGATTTTGAAGATAGGGTACAAGTTTGTTTAAGATTGTGCAGAATTGAATGAATTAATGCCGTATGTTATGGGTGATGGATAGGCTATGGTCGTTGTCGAGTGCCGACCCCTATTCACTCCACCGGGGCCTCAATCTTGAGCTGTCACTCTCTAGACAAAACCCACAACCTCCTAAGTGCATGTTGGTGAACGTGTAGCTAAACGTGGACCACAGGGCCTCAGTATTTGACTGCATAGGCAATTCTCCATCTTAGCATTTATTTCATTTCATAATCACATTCCGACTTCACCGAATTATATCATATACATCATAAACTTACTTTTAAACTCATGAAAAAATAAATTGAACCAATTTAACTTCAGAACTTAACATCAAACTGTACATTTTTGCGCACTGGACAACTCAACTCAACCCAAACCTAAAATCCTAATCTTTGTGACAAGAATTGAACCCACTTCTATACATCGAAACTCAACACCAAACTGTATACTTCTATACATAAAGAGATCGACGTAAACCTAGACCTTTAATGATCGTGATACTAATTGAATCTGATTTACACCTCTTTAAGTTTTAAATGAGACTTTTAATCAAGTAGACGTTTGAGGGCTCCATCTTTGCATTTATTGATGATAGTGCAGAGAACTTTGATCAACTACTCTACCATAGGTTTCTTCATCTTTGCCGATTATCAAAGACGATGTTGCATTCTTGCCTTGGGGCGTCACATCATCACTATTAGGTAGGCATGCGCATTGAGCTTAGGTCACTGATATTTAGAGGCAGAAAAGTGATAAGACTAAAGTAGTTAAAGGAATAGGGGTGAGGAGAATGCATCTTCCAATCAAATGGCTTTGAAAATTTGGTATTTTGAATGATGGATTGTTACAATTGCTTTAACCATAGTTTCTGCATAGGACCTTTTGAAGGGTAGTTAGAGTTATTGGTCTCCCAAACACAGTTTCGATGATTGGTTGATTTACATCAATATCAAAATCAAATTATCTCATGATTCACAAATCTACATATATGAAGTTCTAACAAGGGACCAATGATGTAATGGATAATGGAAATATTTTGGTAATGATGTGAATAATTATGGATGTTGAATGGTTGATAGTGTAAATACTATTGGGTATACGTGTTTTGATGTAGGTAATTCGATTGTCTTTATACAATTGCGTATTGGTTCGATTGTCAACTAATCCCGAGCATATAATAATTGCATAGAATGAGCCAAGAAGTCCCTCCCTCTGACATTTAATGTGATATTTATAGGAGAGTAGAAAGAACACATGTTGGAAGCTCGCCATGTGCGACACGTGTTGCTCATGCACAGGGACAGGTCGGAGGCTCTGCTACTTCCTAGCTTCATGCATGTGTATTAAGGTTCTTGACGCCTCCGTTCTTGCCACGATCGGATTTGACTAAGGGGAATGAAATCTTGTTTTCTAAGTGAAGAAGGTTCGGTGACTCGTCTCGACCTAAGATGGTCGAGGAGACCCCTAAGGCAGGAAGATATCGCCGCTATACTCAAGAATATAGTAAATTGGTTGTTAGATCGGGCATCTAGAGTCTCATATGCAACCCAAACTCGAACCAGTATTATATTTATCGAATAATGAAGGTGGGTAATATTAACCTCAACAAATAGCAATCGTTATACCGTGCACCACGGCGCACATAGCACTGTGCGTCCCGCGCTTCCCAAAACGATGTCGTTTTGTTAAGTTGTTAAAAAAAAAATCATCTGTTTCGAATGCACATAAACTCATAATAGAATACACATAAACTCATAAAAGAATACACATAATATAACATAATACATAATAGTATAATACACATAAACTTTTAACTGAATACACATAATGGGGTTTGGTTAACATAATACACATAAACTCTTAACTGAATACACATAAACTTTTAACTGAATACACATAATTGGATTTGGTTAACATAATACACATAAACTCTTAACTGAATACACATAAATTCATAACAAAATACACATAAACTTATAACTGAATATACATAATGAGATTTAGTCTGTTCAGATTGACAAAATGACGTCAAAAAGAAACGCGCGCGTTTTGTGTCTGGACGCATGCCGTGGTGCACGATACCAACAAATAGTATAATGGATGGGTCCGAAGTTATGCATATTGCAAAGATTTTGAAAGTGCGAGGAATGCATGATAAAACACGGATTGGAAAAGCCCACCAACATTTGCAGTTTGGGCTAGGCATGTTTCAAACCTCGCCATTAAATTGGGTTACAACAAGATTTCGGTTTATAAAATCAAATAATTATTTTTTTAATTTGGTAATATTAATCACCCAATTTAAATTTGTGTCACCAAATTAATTAACAAAAAATTTTCAATTAATTCAATTGGTTAATCACAATGAGACCAAACGGGCTTAGAGTGTCACTCTTACTTAAACGAAAACTCATCTTAAAATTCTTTAACATGATACACTCTTTATAAAGTTCAAACTCCTGACCTTATAAGTTATAGTATCCATTTAGAATAGTTAAATGAATTATATTATATAAAATATATGTCTTTTTAGCAAATATCTAGGTTAATTTGATAAAAAATCAATAACTGAAATTCTTCAAATTTTTAAAAAATAATAATTTGAACTAAACTAATTTTTGACCAACTATATATAAATTAACGTATTATGCGGTGCAGTAGGGTAGCTAGGCCTGGTTAACTTAAAAATCTCACATGAATATATACATGAACATATCATAACCATCCATTGAGTGATGAAGGGTGGCAGATGGACTGTATCCCAACCCCCAGGAAATCCCTAGTTTGTCCTCCTCCTGCGCCCTCCTCATTCTGTATGTGTCGACGCTTGGAAGGGTACATCTGGAAATGGCTCAAGCCTGGGATATCGTCCACTGAAGTTAACGTTGTTCCATATAATCCAAAGAGTTTGGAACTGTTATTGCTGTCCCCACGGTCATCTTGTCCACGAAAAGGCAAAATTCCGGTGATTTCAAAGTTCTCGTATTGTGATTCCACAGAATAGTGGAGGGGTAAATGGTCGTGACTGGGAGGTTTTTTTGGTGGGTTTTCTTGATCATCTTGAGCTTGATTAATGTTGTTGTTGTTGCGTTTTGATCCTAGGATTCCTAGGAATGATGGGTCGGTGGCGGTGGCTCCGATCTGGGCGGCCTTTTGCAGCAAAGCGGTGGCGGACATGTCCGCCGCCGTGGACGGTGGTTGATGGGGCTGAAGTTGGCTGCTAAACAACAACGGGACGCTCACTTCCTTCATGTTGTTTAGAGGGAGTGAAGCGTTATTCAAGATTTCGTCGCTATTCTTGATCGGAATAAGGTTGTCCCAATCCGTATATGTCACCGGTGGAGAATCCGATCTCTGAGCCTGACTCATCCATGGCGGAAGCCCGCCATGCCTCATCGGAATGTTGCCTTCCCCGTCGTCACTTCTCGGTGGCGGCTTGAAAATGGAGGAAAAATGTGACGCCGGCGGAGCTAGCGACGGCGCGCCAAGAAAATGATAGCTGATGTTACCCAGAACCGCCACGTTGTGCATATCAGATGCCACCGTCGCCGCCGTAACCCTCGCCGTCTCTTCCGCCAATGCGTCGCAAAACGCCCTGTGCGTTAAGAAGCTGTCCCTCCTGTTCAAACCCAGAACTCCATTAAATTAAAGCAGAGAATTATTGAACATTAAATCTTGATGACCTTCGACCCGTTCGGAAATTCCTAGACACATCTTTTTGATACCAACAACGAAAGTACAAATTGCGGCATTAAACCGTGTATATGTGCCGCCATTTTCAGTCAACAATAGCAGCTAAAAAGGAATAGCACTATACCATTGCTTATCTACCTCCAACAACATGAAGCTAGAAATTACCCTATGAAGATAAGGTCATAGAAATATTTTCACGATATATGAAAAAAGTCCAACTAAATTGTCACATTATGCTGAGTTCAATCATTGTATAATGGACCCCATGTTTATCTTACCATCTGAGCTAATTACATAAGGTTCATTTTTAGCATACTGAAAGTTCATTTTTAATTTGTTTAATGGTCTTTTTTAACGAACTTTCAGTATATTAAAAATAAATATTAATCAATAATCTATATGGACCATGATCAATAGTATAATTTGTTGTTAGGAGTTCAAACATCATATAGTGGTGATGGGGATTATTCCTTATCCGTCTACGCATTATATTTCGGTCAGATGTAGAGCCACTCCTTGAGGGGAGCCGACCCGACCATCGCCGACTTAATGCAAGTATCCTCCCGACCAAAGCTCATGCCAAGCTCAGGGTCAGGCGATTGGACTTAAGAGTAGTACGTAACAATCAATTCTACCCCGACCTGCTAGGTCGGGACCGGCCTACCAGCCTGGTTCTCATGACTAAGTGTAGGGCAACACGCCTAATGGAGTCAGGAATCTTTTACCACGTAGTCGAGCCCCCTTGTGCCTCGATCTGCACTTGTGCATCGACTTCACGTGTTGCGCATGCCGAGAGACTGGTGCTTGTTACCCATCTCTCCTATAAATACCACATTATTTGCGAGGAGGGGGACTGTTTGGCTATTTCTAGACGCTAAGGGTTAGCTCGGGAACCTTTGACCCATCAGAGCTCCACAACTTAAGCCAACAAGCAAATTAGGTAAAGGGACCGTAGACGGGACCGACCCTAGCATCGTATCTCTACTTAATACCGCCAATATATACTACATCGAGTGGATTTAAGGATTAAAACTTAAGGAAAAAAAAAATGTTTGTCTAAACTAAAAATTTAAACTGATACCTTGAAAAGATAGTTCCGCAATCACATCTATATTCCCTAGTGCCACAAGTCTTGGAATGGGCTTTCCAATCCGACTGCACGGCGTAGCGTTTAGAGCACTTGTCGCATTTCCACTTCTTCTCGCCGTGCTTCCGGCAGAAGTGCTTCTTTATTCCGGTGAGATCCCCGAGAGCCCGGGAAGGGTGGTGGTGGACGCAGCTCTTTTCCGGGCACACGTACACGCGCTTCCGCACCTCTTTGCTGCTTCTTTGCTTCAGCTTCCATGGCAGGTTGTGGCCTCTCCTGTGAAGCTGCAGATTCTGATCCCTCTGAAACCCTTTCCCACAGATTTCACACAAATACCTATTTGTCGCCATCAGAGTCTTTGGTGACAAGGCTATCACTTCAGCTTCAGGATCTGCCAAAACCCAATAATCAATATTCTTAACTGCTCCCATATTCTTTAAAACAGTCAGATTTGTTAGGATCAAACGTTTATAACTACACCAAAACCTATAACTAATACCTACAGTCACATTTTTAAGAGGTAAACTGTTAGACTTGACCCTTCAGACCTAGCGCAATAATACTCTACCTATCAATTATTGGTCTTAACCCTTTACTGACCTATGCCAAACAAGATTGTTTCCGATCCTAGCAAAAGGATTAAGTGTTGAAACTTATGTTTCACGAGATATAAGAGTTTTTAGAATATATTTTACACGAGTCAAGCTTGTAAAGCTGGAATACTATAAAGGGTTGCAGCATATATATATATATATATATATATATATATATATATATATATATATATATATATATATATACCTGGATTTCCTGGAAGATTTCTCTTCTTCTTAACAGGAGGATTGGATTCAGGGATTGGGTTTTCAACCAAACTGCAGTTGGAAGAGATTATTCCTTCTTCTTCTGTCATCTTCTTTCTGGGATTTTCTGGTTCTTTAGTCTGCAAGAAAACCCATCCAGTAGAACAGTGAGGATGATCAAACAAGAAACCAAACATAAACACCCAAAGTGAGAATTTTGAGGTATCAGTAAAAGAAAAGGAGAAAATTAAAAGATACCTTTTGATAAATAGGGTGGTGTCAACCTCAAGAACAAAGAGCGCAGCTGGCCGTGGGGAAGAAGACAATTAAGAGAAAGAAGAAGAGAATGGGCACTTAATAGTTCAGGTTCTTTAAGGACATAAATAACAAGGCAGGAAATGAAAGAAATATGAGATCAAGATCTCTCTCTCTCTCTCTCTCTCTCTCTATCTTTGTATCTGATGAGACGACAGAGACAGCCACATACATACATAAGCACGCACACATTCTCATATGTGTGCAGTCTTTTAACTGCTTGCTGTCGGATGGAAATAGAATATTAGAGATTCATGGGAGGCGGTGAAAAGTGAAAGTTGGAGTCATCCCAAGTGTATGTATGTAAGGCATAGCTAGCTTGGATGGATGGGCATGTTGTGTTATGGTGCATGATGACACCTATGGAGAAAGTTCGATAAATTGAGACTCCTTAACTTTCCCTTGGAATGATTATCCCATATATAATTCTTCATTTTGGCTTTTGATTTTATAATATTATTACTAGTTTCGAGATTTAACATGAACCATTACCTGTGACGACTAAAAGCAAGTCTTAAATTAAGATTCTTTTCCAACAGAACAATGCCTTAAAGATCGCATTCTAATTCTAAGATCCACATGAGACCACCTACCCCGACTCAGAAGCCTTATAAGTGGAGGAGGTGTGTAGCACTTTGCCGCTACAAGTAAAGTAGATTAGAGTTACGTTAATTACTTTTTTTTTTTAATCAGTCAACTAGATAAGTTAGGCTCTGTACACAAGTATTTGTTTTAGGCTTCTTGTATGTAAGTTGTTTTTTGTTCCATTCTTTCTTAATTTGATGATTAAATCTTAAGATGGAATAGTAAAGTACTAGTTAAATTGGTAATAATCATTTACTTCTCTCGAAATAGTCCCATTGTTTGAAGGGATGGAATGGATTTGTCTGATTGTAAACACTAATATATAAGCATTTTGTAAATCCTGAAGCAATAAAGTCACATCTTGAAGTTTACACATACATTTACTAAAACTTTAGGTAAAGTTGGGCAGATACGAACTTTCGAGTTTATGATGAAAACCTTTTTAAAAACAGTTGTTTAAATTAAAGGTTTAGTGTAAATTAAACTTAATCGGTTTAAAACTTATAAAAAAAAATGGTAAAGTATAAGATTATATGTTGCACATACTTGGATCATTTCCTTTTGGCTATAGACAATTCAAACAACTTTTGTATTATCAAAGACTAATGTAAAAAGCCATGCACGTGTTGCTAGTGTCAAACAATGGTAAAATCCAAACGATCCGACGAACTAACGTACAGCTAAAGGTGATAATTAAGCATCCTTATTATGACGACATAATTGACCATGCCACTCTTCACTTCATTTCATCCATGGTGCCCGGTTTGATTTAATTTGTCGGTGGCCGACGTATAGTATTCATCAATAATTGAAATGATATTATTGTACGTTAATTAATGAAATTAGATAAGCTTTGAGCGATGGGTGCATATATTACAGCAGAGATAAGCTAGGTATATATATAGTAGTTTGATTGTCGGTTGTTTCCTTGAATGGTAGGTGTTAAAACACCCACTTTATGGCTTTCTCTACGTGCTATCACTTTATCTTTAAAGGAATATAGTTTCTGTTGTGATGATGATAAACACTTTTGGTTATGCATGAATCAGAAGATCAGTTTGAGTTAGTTTTAGGTGACTGAATCTGTGTCGCCTTAGATTCAGATGATGAAGACGACACTGATTCCTTAAATCAAAGAAGAGGTAGAACTGGATTTTATAACCCAAAAATCTAAAATTTCTTACCACTGAAAATCATGGTTATAAAAATCGCCAGGTGCTCGCTCTTTGTATTTTTATCAAAGAAGAGGTAGAACTGGATTTTATAACCCAAAAATCTAAAATTTCTTACCACTGAAAATCATGGTTATAAAAATCGCCCGGTGCTCGCTCTTTGTATTTTTTTTTTAATCTTAAATTTGTATAAGAGACATGATAATTATACATGCACTTTCATTTTATACTCTTATTTTAATTTCTACTCCTTAATTAATAGGCGACATGCTTTGATTGCTTTATATAACTGTGCTCATGATTTGTATCCATTACTTTTTTGTTCGTACAACAAAATTTGAATGCTTAGTGGGAATAAAAGTTGAGAGTAGATTTTTGAGGTCGAAGTAGTATTTTTGGGTTAAAAGACAGGGAACTGACAAAGGCAGTGAATTTTTGGAAGTGTGGGTCATCTCACCACCTTTGCCGGGCTGACTTTTCCTGCAGGCAACCCTTAATCATAATCTAATGATGTTTTTCCTATGTTTTGTTTACAATATAATCTTTGGAGTTTAGCTGTTGAGCTTTCTTGACCCAAAGAATATTCTCTCCTTCCCCAACACTCTCTCTCACTGGCTTCAACTTTCGAGGTCCAGCTCTGATCTTCTTTAATTTAATATAATCACCCCTCTTTCCCCCTTAATCATTTATTAATATACCACTAGCTTGGATTAGCATTCTAAATCTAAATTTAGGGTTAAAAACAGTGGACTAATAATACTAGGTAGATAGGAATTGTTTAGGTTTGAAACCACATTCATGATGAAGCTTTGAAAGAGAGTTTGGAAAAAGTAAAATGCTGTCACCAAGGGTATGTTTGTATTGGTGTTTGTCTTTTGCCTTGAACATGGATGTAGTTTCTTACAATAGGAATCTAAACCTTTGAATTAGTGGGAACTAGTACATTCTAATCAATTATGATGTCATCAAATCACAAGGTATTTGACAAAAAAATTTATAATTTAATAGCATAAATCGTTAAGTTTTAAGGTCGTTGAAACCTAACTTAAATGAATACATAGGATATATAGCATCTTAACTTGATCTACCTCAATTATATAGTACGTTTTACATTATTACTTATAGGAAAATGCTATTTTTCCCTAATGATGTGGTTTATAATCATTGGGTGCTATGAAATGGCTGACCCCACTTGCTTTTAATTAAAGATTAATTAATCCATTAGGTAGTGTCATGTCGGAGGGGAAAAATAATAAGGACAATTTTAGGAGGGATGTGTAGCATCACTCTTACTAATATTGCATAGTGAGCATGATAAATCTGTCAAGATCAAGCACTTACTACTACACACAAATTTATAGCCAGTAACAATCAAATACGCAACTTAATGTCTTTATACTTATGTAACAGTTAGCATGATTCGGTTACAGAATGTTGGACTTGTCTCGACCTTCCAAACCTCTCTGCCCCAACAAAATCTTTTTAAATTATATATATGGTCTCTAAAAGCATTTCCAATTATAAATGATTTATTGAATATGCCTTAATAGAGAATCAACTTCCTCGATGGCATTCATATTTCATGTGAGATGGATTTTGGTCATGTTCTTTAAGGAAAAAAAAAAAGGGGGGGGGGTCCATGAGATATTATTATACCCAAATCAAGAACTAGGAATCGAATATATGTCGTGTAGCATAACAAAGCTACAAAAGTACAAATTTAAGGGAGTTGATGTTGGCATTGTTTTTTCTTTTGGGTGTAAGGAGTGTGGTCCTTTAATTTGTTCTAATCATTTATATGCAACAATAACATTTGAAGAGAAAATTCATCTTCAAAACAAATAAACTATTAATGGATTTATTTTCAAAAAAAAAAAAACTATTAATGGATTTTTTCTACATTTCTGATTCATTGAAACACATCCCACAATTTATCTTATATAAAAAGACCCCAGAGACAAGCTCTAAGTGATCTCGAGATTGAAGTTCAATCTTTTTATTATTATTATTATTATTATTATTATTATTATTATTATTATTATTATTATTATTATTATTATTATTATTATTATTCTTCTTCTTCTTCTTCTTCTTCTTCTTTATTCTGAAAGTAGACGGATATATATTTTTCTCTAGGAGTTTACATATTGCGGCCCCCAATTCGTACAATTATTCGTTCTTCTTTGGAAGTTAATAGTGTGGTAGTATTTGAGAATTATTGACCTAAAAGTTTCACCACTCTATAACGCTTGAGATATAAGTGAAAGATGATTGTTTGTATGACGATTATGGACTCTAACTTTAATTAGATTAGCTCCTAAAAGTCATTCCCTATATGCATGATTGACGTGTATATATTTGGGTCAAATTGTGAAAAAGTTCATGTTGCTTTTGTTAGTTGAGTGTCATGGTAAAGTATACTATTTCAAGAAGGAAAGGCAAGTTTAAAGCCACCTTTAATTTAGTTTAAGTGCGTTAGGGTGACTCCTAGTGAAAGTATAAAGCAACCATTTTATAGCTTAAGTAAAAGGAATTTTGCCCCAAAAGAATGGTCAAGTGGATAAAATATAATTCTTATATACATATAACAAGTCACTCTTTATATACGTAGTACAGTCACGAGAAAACAAAAATTGAATAAGGAGACCTGAGAAAAGAGATTTTTAAAAAAATTGAGTCATTTTTTTTTCAATAAAACTACATCCTAAAATACATTTCAATTGAACTTTTAAAATACACTTTATATATATATATATATATATATATATATATATATATATATATAATATTTGGGGTTTAAATATTTTTAATTATAGAAACGGTTCCGAAATTCATTTGGTAATTCCTCTTATAAAAAAAATCACATTTTTATTTTATTTTTCGTCTGATTACAAGTTATTCTTTTCCAGTGACGAGAGAAATTGCACTCGTTACTTGAGAAAAGATTTTTAGGGTAACAAGAAAAACCACACAAGAGAGTTAAACAATATTTACTATTCGATGATATACACTAGTTAAACCGCGCTACTATGTAATAGCCCATAAACCAAATAGGAGAGGTAAACCCAACTAGAAAAATCTTGTACGATGAGTTGGAATGAGAAGGTGTTAGAAAAAATTAAATTTATGATCTTTTGATACAATAATCATGCTCTATCACTCTGCCACTGCTTTTGTTATCATAACTAGGGCTGTTAACGAACCGAACATAAACGAACGGAGGTTGTTCGTGTTCGTTTGTTAAGGTTTTTGGAGTGTTCGTGAACGTGTTCGTTTGTTAAGATTTTTGAAAATCCTATTCGTGTTCGTTTGTTAAGCGTTTGTTAGTGTTTGTTAATGTTCACGAACATGTTCGCGAACGTGTTCGTTAACATTAATAAACACGTTCATGAACATGTTTGTTAACATTAACGAACACGTTCACGAACATGTTCGTTCACGTTCGTGAATGCTTAATACCCAAACATATGAACATGTTAATGATCAAATTCGTTCGTGAACAAGAA